CCCCCCCCACCCCTCCGCCCAAACTTATGTTTAGTTGCTTGTAAAAGCAGGGCTTAATTACACTTGTGAACAGTGTATTTTGACAATTAATGAGTAAAAACAGTCCTCATTATGTTTTATTGTACTTAAAACATTGTTAGTTAGGTTGGAATCAGGCCAGTAGGGGTTCTCCTTAAACTCTGGCTGATGTGTTTCTCTTGCTGTAACAGTGAAGTCTTGTTGTTTCAGGGCATTAAGCTTTGTTTAAAAATGAGTAGATGAACTAGGGCTTTAATCTTCCAAATGTAGAGCAGAAAGACAACTTGTACCTTAGTATCTGCACAAACACTGTAAGTCGTGCTGTAATCAGGCATGTTGGTCAGTCTGTCTTGACCTTGTTTACTCTTTGATTCGTACCACTGTCATGGTTGATACTAGGCTGAGCTTTATTGAATTTTGATATCAGAAATAGTAGCATACTACCTTGATATGTGTGTTCTACTTTAGTGTTGTTAATTTATTTTTGCAAGGAAATAGTATTATATTGAAAATAATGTTTTTCTGGGTTGTTTAAGATGACCTGACTTTAAATAGTCATTTTGCTGTGGTGGAGATGGCGTTTGTCATCACTGCCTTAGAACCGTATGGGCATTACTGTAATTGGATAATGAATGCAGTACTTAAAAGTGGCTTCCCATCTTGCATCTGTCAGTTTTCTGACAAAGGAATCTGTTTTGGGTGTTGTCATCATCCTCTGTCTCAGCTTCCAGTATCCAAGACATAAATCCTGCATTTGTTTCATGAGCTACCATGAGCTTTGTGAGACCATGTGCAGTTGTAGTTAGGAGAATGTAGTGTAGTAACTAGCTCTTCATCAGGAATTCTTCTGTGTTGTTTTTTCTCTCCTTTTGCCTGCAGTTGTTTTTACTGTGGCTTGCTTGAGTGGTGTAACTGTCTCATCAAATGCAAGCTCTCCTTTTCAAGTAAAAGAAAGTGCAAAGAGAAATGGAAGTTCTTTTCTGTTTTCTAAGCTAGGCAGTTGATGGTTAGTTTGCAGAAAGGAGATGGGCAAAAGACATGAAATAGTTTTGCTTGTCCTATACTCTGAAGTCATTGGTCGTCTCTGCGTAACGGAATGTTTCTGCTAAAACAAAATCCTTATTGGCTTCTTTTTAATATGTTAACTGTGTGTAGCAAGTTTAATATATTTTATATATTCAATATATATTTATATGTACTTGAAATGGGCTTGTTACACGTTTTAAGGAAGAGAAGAAATCTAATGACTATTTTAGCATTTGTTCAAATAGCATGTTGTAGTTCTGAAGATACAGATTCTTAAATGACATCTATCCACAATTTTTTTAAAGAATAATATTCGGGCATCAGAAACTCTTAAAACTGAAATTGATGATTTGAAGAAGAAGCATGATGAGGCTGCTTCAAAAGTTCTCCAGCTTGAAGAAGATATCATGACTGTTACTCAAAAAGCCATTGCAAAAGAAACAGAGTTAGACAGGTATTTAGTCATTCTGTTCCTTATTTTACCGTTGTACTGCTGTTATTTTACTTATTTTACTCTTTCTTTCCATAGACTTTTTTAAACATAACAATTTTTCATGTATGCATCAATTTTCTGCATTAATAGTTCTGTATTATTAATTTGTCAATGTTTTAGTCTGAAGGACAAACTGAAGAAAGTGATGCTTGAGAAGGAGCAACTTGAATGTGTGTTAAAGACAGAAAAGGATGAAAAAGAACTTTATAAGGTAACTTTATTCCTTGTACCTGTATACACTGAAATGAAGTGGTGTGGAATAAAGGTGCTAATGTTTCATAGAGAAGTCTGATAAATTGAATTTGTTAAGAAAAAAAGGAAATAGATAACTTATGTGAACAATTTTTTAAGATAGTTATAAATGTTATCATATAAAAATGAATGAGGAAAATAGCATCTAAATGCATCCCATGATATAAAAAGATCTGTAAGAAGGAGAATGGGTCACAGATTTGTTAAAATGCAGGCACAGTAACAAAAAATAATAGATGTTAGTGAGAAAGTTCTTTAGTTATACAGTGCATCATGCAGTAATGGGTTTTCTTAACACAGTTTTTCATAACTAAATTACTTTTTACTCTTCTAAGTTCTCTCTCCAGACTATTCTTAAGTCTTGTGCGTAACTCTGACAAGTTTTAGTAGGATCTGTATTGCATTGATTTTTACTAGCATAGCTGATTCCTTTTCCTGGTATTGAGAGACACCCATATTTAAAACACAATATAGTGCCTCCCCCAAAAAAGGGGCAAAAAAGTCTTATATGCTAAAATAATGAAATCCTTAGGCTGTATGAAACAAATCAAGTGTATTTAAAAGATTTTTCTTCTGGTCATAGGAGAATGTCTTTATGTGTCAGACAGCATTGGATACACACCAGAAGTCAAAAAATCTCAAAGCATCTTTCACAAGCATAGACTCCCTTTTTAAATTAACAACTCTAGAACTGTTTTTAAGCTATCATCAAGTTGATCATATTATGCCTAATAAAGGGTAACTGTTGCACTCAAGTGTTGTCCACTAAAAGACTAAAAGATTTGTGTTGCTTAAGTAGTTTGTCTTTGGAAATGTAGTCCTGTTTGCTTAGATGATTGCAAGTAGATACTACTGGAAGTTTAGTTTCTCTTTAGTTTTCTGCAAGTAATTTCTTTTTTGCTTGTTGTTAGTTGTCCAAGAATTTGTGAAGAGAGGAGTGAATTCTGCATAGCTTAATTTGATATGGACAGAAATCAGGGTCCTAACTTCTACCTGTGGAGTGGAGCTGTTGTTAGATGATCGAGCTGAAAGAATTCCATCCAGAAAATTTGTGCTGGAGGGCAGTGATATTATCGAATGTTTAATTTTCCTCTTTACCTGTTCTAATCTGTCTCAGAGATGAGGTAGAATTTAGCGAACACTTAAATGGACAGGTAAACGGTAGTTTTCATAATGTGGAAGAAGAGTTTGACATTTTTTAGCATCATTACAGATACACTTGAAGAATACAGAAATAGAAAACACCAAACTAGTAAAAGAAATCCAGACGTTTAAGAATTTGGATGCAAACAAAGAAAACATGATATCGTATTATAAAGAGGAGGTTGGCAGATTACAGCTATTTATAGCTGAAAAAGAAAATATGAAGAAAGCTTTTTTGCTCTCCTCATCAAACAAGGTAAGCATTACTAATATAATTGGCCTGGTTTAAAATAAACATATCTAAAGTTGTATCTGTGTGACAAGAGAAAGGAAGGAGTTGAAGATACTACCAGAGTATAGGCTGAGAGGCAAGAGGATTATGGTGTTCTCAGTAGACACAGAAAATGAGCAAAAGAGTGAATTTGCTTGTAGTTCTGCACATTCCGAACTTGCTGAGGTGTCTCACACTGTGGTATGAACTATGTGTGAAAAAGAATTTGTGAGTTCAGTAAAAGTGGTGCATTCCTCTTGAGTTGCTTTTAACTTCATGAAAAAGGAAGGAGATGGAGGAAAACAGAAAGTTAAGAATGTTGGGACTGCAGAGGGTGATGGAGGAGAAAAGAGGAGATGTCGAAAGATGTGCTGAAGGACTTGTTAAGTGAATGTACTGTTAAGGTACAATAATGTAAAGCCTGAGAAAGGATAAGATACCATATAAATGGACTAAATTGACTGAGAACATGGCAATAAGAGAGCCAGTAGGACTTCTAACAAAGAGGTGATTTTTGCTACGCAGTGTGGTAGCATTGTGGTTAGCAAGCAGCGTGGTATAGTAGGAGAGTGAAATTGCTGAAGAACTGGTATTTATGCTGTCCGTGGTTCAGGTGGGATTACTTCAGACTAGTTTTAGTGTGGTGCTGCGGATGGAATACCCATTAGGTGTTTGTTCCTGATGTACATCTTCCTGTTTTTGTTTCATCCAAAAGAAATACAGTTTCTGTGCCCTGAGACTGTTGTGTCCTGTCCTGTAATCTACAGTGTGATATGTAATAGTGGAATTGACTGGGAGTTTTGCTTCACAAATGTGCTCTTGACCCAAACTAGAGAGTTAATTTAGACACAGCCTTTGAGGCCAGCATGGAAAAGTGAGATTATGCAGGTGACTTTATCTTGTGTATCTTGCCAGTCTTCTTGCAGAAAAAGCAATGTAGATCTTGAAAGAATAAACATTGCATTCAAGTAAAGTGAGTTATGAATGTAAAATTTAAGTAGAAAAGTAGTGCTGTTGAGAATGGAAATAGCAAGAGGACAAGAAGAACACACTGTCTTGCTTTAAGTTACAGCTTATCTTGTTCTAGTCTTTTGACTGCTCTGCAGGTTTGTTTCTGAACATGTTAAACTACTATGGTATTTTACTTAGAAGTAAAAACATATAGGGGATATGTGTATGCCAGTACTGAAGCAACCAAACATTTATGTCATTAATCTTGGAGGTGCTTGTGACGTTTCTGGTGGGATCATTAACATTTTTGTCTTACACTGTGAAACTGCAGATATTTACTGAAATACGTAACTGATGCATCATGTGCTGTAAAAATAGCTAAGGGAGAGGACTTCAGTGCATTTCCTAGTCCATCCATCTTCATAAATGTTTACAAAATAGAGTAGTATTCCTCTGGACTTGCTATACTAGTGATTATTCAAAAATTAACAAATAATGGACTAGAGATACATGAGTTTGCATCTAGACTCAAGAATATGAGATGATTATGCCTTCAAGAAGCCCAGAGGCTGCAAGTAGCTTATAGTAGCTTTGACTTTTTTTTTGTGTGTGTGTGATCTTGGGCTTTTCTGAGGAATGAGAGGCCAGTAGTGCAGCTTGGCCAGCTGACCCTTGGGCTGCCCTATGGAGCTGCAGCAGTGTTGCGTCTTAGTGCTGCATGCTGCAGCTTCCTCTTCATTACTTTTTGTTCTCAGTTTCTTCTGAAAAGCTTGTTGTGCAAGATCTTGGGAAATGGAGCTATGAGAAAAACAACCAAAGCTGCTTTATTGGGTCTTGCATCAACCTGTTATAGGCATTGTAAGGCCTCTTACTCTGTTATTACCTGCAGTGTCTTACTGTGGGATGAACTTTGGTTTTGAAGCTGGATGGCCATTTGTGCCTGTTAAGAGTTCTACAGTGATAAGAACAAAGATCTTCTGGGAAACAGAAAGACTTTTTTTGGCATATGTTTAAAACTAAAGTGGAAAATAAAGAAAAAAAAAATCCAGTCTAGGTAAAATAATAAGATTTAAATTTGCCTTTGTGTTATGGTGAAATATTTTTGCGCATCATTGTTAGCAAAGGTGGCAAATAGGGAAAATGGTACTTGTGTACTAACTTCTTGATTTAGTGGTTTTGCTAAAGCCACTAGGAAAACTTGACACCCCCCCCACCCCAATGTTTCTAATCCTGATACCAATCTTTATTTAACCTTTGAATTAAAAAATGATGGATTCTCTTCCCTCTCTCCTCTTTCCCAGGAGGATGCAAGTATTTTAAAAGAACAGCTTCGGAAAGCTGAAGATCAGATTCAGGCTAGCAAACAAGAAGCTGTCCTAATGTCAAAAGAGCTGAGTGATGCAGTAAATGTGCGAGATAAGACGATGGCAGATCTTCATAGTGCACGTCTGGAAAATGAAAAATTGAAAAAACAGCTTGCTGATGCCTTAGCTGAACTTAAAAAAATCACGACTTTGAAAAATGAACAGGTAAACTGTCAGTATTTAGTACTGAAGTTTATCTGTATTTATAAAAGCTGTCAGAGCAAGCTTTGCTGAAGTTGGGAAATTAAAATACGTTTCTGGGTGATTAGTGCAAATTATTATCAAATTATTCATCACTCAAGATACGGTAAATCAAGTGCATGTTAGCTGATTTGGAAGGTTGGAAAGAAAGGTTTCTGCTACTGCTTACAGCAACTCCCTTCCACCCCCAGGTTATTTTCACAGAATATGAAGTATTTATCTATATTATTTTGAATCCTCTCCCTTTCTTAATTCTTTTATGTGAGCCACAGTAGCATTAAAAATTTGTTCAGATAAGAAAATTGATAGAATTTTTTTGGTAACGTTCTTTTCCTCATTGATGGATTCTATCTTGATTCTTGTGAGTCCTTCCAATATTTGTGGTCAAAGTTAATGTGCTTTAGTATTTGTAAGTATAAAAATATTAAGTTAATGGAAACTATCTTGTCTGTCTTCATCTTGGATAAAAATTTAGTGAGCTAGTATAAGTTCCATCATTCTGACTTAAGCTTTGTACCGGAACTTCCGCGACTGCAACTGTATTGCATTAATTTGCTACCAGGATTACTGTAATTATGTATAGGAACTTCTTCTATACTTATATAAAGCATTATGCTTCTTTAAATGAAAAAA